TTTGGGTTGTTTTTGGTTTTTGGTTATTATAAATAATGCTAGTATGAACATTACACATCTTTGTATGGACATATGCTTTCATTTCTCTTGGGTGAACACCTAGTATGGAAGAGCTGCATTATATAATACATGTATGTTTAGCTTCTAAAAAAGACTGCCAATGTCTTTTCCAATGAGGCTGTTTTATATTCCCACCAGAAACGTATTACAGTTCCATTTCCTCTGCATTCTCACCCACACTTTTTAATCTAATAGATGTCTAGAGGTATCACAATGCAGTTTTAACTTGCATTTCCCTAGTGAAAAATGCTGTTGAGCATTTTTTCATGTGCTTACTTGCCATCTGTACAACTTCCTTGGTGATGTGTCTGTTAAAGTCTTTTGCCTAATTTTAATTGGGTTGTCTGTTTTCTCATTGAGCTTGGAGAATTCTTCATATATTCTGCATACAAATTCCCTCTCACATATATGACTTATAACCATTTTTTTCCAGTCTGTGACTTGCCTTCTACACTCCTTCAAAAGGGCAGAAATATTCATTTTGTTGAGGTTCAGTTTATCAGTTTGACCTTCTAAGGATCATGATGTCAAATCGAAGAAATCTTTGCCTAAGCCAAGTTCACAAAGATTTTCTCCTATATGGTTTATAATTTTAGATTTTACATCTAGATGTATGATTCATTTGAGTTAACTTTTGTATATGAATCAAAGTTCACTTTTTTTGTATATGTATATCCAGTTATTTCATTACTAGCTTTTGAAGAGACTATTGTTTTTCTCCACTGAATTGCCTCTGCATCTTTTTGGAAAATTAGTTATCCATGTATGTGTGGGTCTATTTTTAGACCCTCTATTCTGTTTAATTGATATATTTGCCCATCTTTATGCCAATATCACACTGTCTTGATTTCTGTAACTTTATAATAATTATTAAAATCAGGTAGTTTTAGCCCTACAACTTGTTCTCTTTCAAGACTGTCTTGGCTATTCTATATTCTTTGCATTTTAGACTCAGATTGTCAATATCTACAGAAAATCTTGCTGGGATCTTGCCAGAGATAACCTTGAATCTAGAAATCAATTTGGGGAGAACTGATAACTTAAAAACATTGGGTTTTCAAATCGATGAACACAATATATCACTCCACTTATTTAACTCTTCTTTAATTTCTCCCAGCAATGCTTGAGTTTTCATCCAGGTCTAGCACACATTTTTTTCCAGAGATATCCCTAGGTATTTTATAGTTTTTAAAATGCTGTTGTAAATAGTATTTCTTTTTATATTTTAAATTTCTAATTATTTGTTGCCAATATACAGAAATATAATTGATTTGTGTACATTGATCTTATATCTTGCAACCTTGCTAAAAATCACTTTTTAGTTCTAGAAGCTTCCATTGGAATCTAGTACATTCCACTGGATTTTCTACATAGACAATCATGTTGTCTGTGAATAAAGACAGTTTTGCTTCTTCCTTCCCAAAATACATGCTTTTAATTTCTTTCCCTTGCCTGACTGCTCTTTACCTACAGTACAGTGTTGAAGATTACTGGTGAGAGCAGACACCCTTGGCTTGTTCTTGAGCTTAGGCGGAAAGCATTCAATCTTTAATCAGTAAGTATGTTGTTACCTATAGCCTTTTGATAGATGCCCTTCATCGGGTTGAGGAAGCTCCCTTCCATTCTTACTTTGCTGAGAGCTTCCTTCTTGTTTTTTTAATGAATAGGGGATATTCAATTTTGTCAAATGCTTTTTACATATCTATTGAGATGGTCTTACGGTTTTCTTTTTTAGTTTGTTAAAATGGTGAATTACATTATTCCTTTTTAAATGTTAAACCAATCTTGCATTCCCAGGATAAACTTGACTTGGTCATAATTTATTATCTTTTTAATCTATCGTTTAATTCAAACAGTGAGAGGCCTGCGTACCGCAAAAAAAAAAAAAAAAAAAGAAGAAGAAAACTATAACACCAGCACTGTCTGGTTTGATCATCTACCTCGCTCATCTCCTTAGTGCCAAATAACTTTAGATTGTTTCCAAAGATTACATTTGTTTTCAACAGACAAAGGCTGTGTTCCCATTGAGATCCCAAAAAAGGAAATAGCATACAGATTTCAAAGGCAATTTTAAAAGGAGCTCTAAAATGTTTGAACAATGAAATATATGCTTAGCCTTCTAAATAATCAACCTTCTGAAGTGACTGTTTTAAAAAACAGACTCATTACCTGGAACGGAGAGCTTCTCCAAAGTAGAGCAAGAACACTGCCTTCTGCCTAGCTTTCCACAAGCACTCTCATATCTGTTGAATGGAAATGCAAACTTTAGACTAAAGGACTTCTTTCCTAGGAATCACTACAATACAGCGCCCTCTGGTGCATTATATCACAGGTTTTTTTGTTTGTTTGTTTTTTGTTTTAATTTCCTTTTCCTTTAGGTTTGAGTGTTAAAGTGTTCAGTTTAAAGTATTGTAAAGGTTCAAATGACAGAGAAGTAATAGCCCTGAGTAACTTAATTTTCTTTACTGAAGGTGATTATAATATATACTTAAAATTTTGGTGTGAGATATTAGGTTAAATGACTGTAAAATCCATTTTTATTTAGAAAATGTTTTGAGTTTTCTAAAAGAAAGTAATTTAATGAAAGAACAAGATAAGTGGCCAATTTAAGAGGCCAAGGCTAGAGAGGGAAGAATTATTACATCCTTGTGGCAACATTTATCACACTTAGCGCATATTAACAACAATACATATAACTTTAAAATCTGCCTATCTCCCCAATATTTAGTAAAATACAAATGAGGCAAGCAAGGCTTATAAGGAAGGAAAAAACCAAAGAGAATCCTATTTTTGTGTCTCTTCAATATAACCTACAATAGAACCTTCTCTCCCATTCTCTCCATTTACAATTTGCCCACAAAATTATCCTAACTTTTCCAGAACCCTCTAACACATGCAAAATAAAACATTTTAAAGAACAAGTTTGCTTACAGAACTAAAATATTTTTCAAAGGTTAAGGCTTGAAATCCATCTAATATTGAACTCACTCATTTATCTCGAAACCTCTATCCTTAGGTAAGCAGTACTTTTCATGGACTTCCAAAGTAATGGCGACATTTTCATTTGATGGAGCAACAAAAATGCTCTACGTCCTCATCTTGTTTATGGCTATCCTAAAGTCGTTGCTCTTCAATTTATCAAAAGTATACCAGATCAACCAGGGCCATTTAACTGAGCTGATCAATTTTACTCTGAGTTTTGTTCTAAGAGTCACTACAGCGCTTAGCTAACTAGGTTTGAATACTGGGCCACCAAAGACCACTATTTAGAGCAGCAACTGCTCATTCAATGAGAAAGAGGCCACCGGTACTCATTCTCCCTCTATGCTAGTGGGCTCACCTCCCTTCTCTAGCCCCTCTCTGTTTTGCTTCATTATCCTCTAGTGCAAACACCACTGGCGTTCTATCACCTCACCATTCAGGTATATACACTTCAAGTAACACCAGGTGAGACTGGAGGCTCATCTCTGCAGTGTTTCCGCCACTACTCTGATCTCCAGTCAGACTGACCTCTCCATCTCACGCCGTTTCCTTTATGGTTGTTTGTCCTGTGGTTCTAATCAGACTTTAAGCTCCCTAAAATGTGCTGCTTCTGCACTCTCCTGAAATCTCAAAGTATAAATTACATGATCTGCAATAGTAATAACTATCTTTAAGAAATGGGTTTTATTTTTGAACCAGAAATATCGGTCCCACAAGCATTTATTGAATGTGTTCTGAGACTTTCAAACACAAAGGTGAATGAAATGCCTGTTCTCAGAATCACAGTAACAAAGACCGTGGTACAGTGGTGACAGCGTATGCACAAGGACAGTCTCTAAATAAAGGGATATGAACTGTGCTACTTTTTAAAATCACCATTTAGAAATAACAATATATTTTAATTCCTTAATAGATGAGAATATTTAAAAATTTTTTCCTATAAAAATATTCAAAACTGGAAAATAATGAACGTATTTCAATTTTTTTAGTTTAATTGACTTCTTAGAAATTTAAGGTATTGGGGAGAGGACTCAGAGGAAAAAGTCTGAAAAAGAAAATACTTATATAAAACTTGCCGAATGCCTACTATGTGCTAGACACTATGCTAGATGCTGGGGATACAACAGTGAGTAAAAGCCAACCTTGACCCTGCAGCGATGGAGCTTACAGCACAATGGTTGAAGCAGATAATAATCATACAAGTGAAGAGCAAGTTACAATAGTGATAAGCACCACAAAGGGAAATCACAGAGCACTGAGACTCACGGAGGCTTCCCTGAGGAAATGACATCTAAAGGAAAGATGGAGCAAAGAGAGTAACTGAAGTAGAAAGAATATGCACAAATGCACTCTGACTAGAGGGTTCACGGCAGTCTTAAGGAACTGAAAGAGAATGGGAGCAGAAGGGCAAAGGGCACTTGGTAGGAGAAAACAAGGTCAAAGAAGCAGGGAGAAGCCAGACCTTGTAGGGTCTTGTGGGTCATTTTAAGGATATATGTTCACCTTAAAGGCAACAAATACACAGCCGTTAAAGAGTTTTAGCTGTGTTACTAATTAAATTCTAAGATCACTTCTGCAAAGGATCTGGCATAGTTTCAGATACACAGTAAATATATTCAGTAAATGCTGATTCCCTCCCAAGCACACTCTGAAAAATTCACCTTTTTATCTCAGTAGTGTATTTAATCAATTAGCAATCACAGTATCTTTAGAAAATGAATTAGCATTATTTAATTTTAATCTAATGCCCATTTTCTCCCAAGTAATATAATAAAGTAGAATTCAAAGTGCACTGAAAATTAGAAGTTATTTATTGAATCATAATATGATTTTATATAGTGCTAAAAATGGAGTACAATTAAGCCAGCCTCTGTATCTATATTTTGATTGTACTCTTAGTTTTTAGTACTGAATATTTTGTAAAATATATCAATACCAAGATGAAACAAAAATGGTTAACAATATAAAGTTGTAAATGACATAATTTAAGGGATCCAAAGCTCAATATTATAAATTTATTTAGCAAGCCAAAATACACCTTCAAGGAAGGCTGAGGAACTTATCTAGAAACCAACTGTTTCTATCAACTATCTAATACACAATACAGTGTCTGTGCCCTATATACAGTTTCTGTCTTTTCAAATTTCTCTTATTTTCTCAAATGTTTCTGCTGTAATCCATTAAGACAGTTTGCAAACAATAAAATATTTTGCCTAAGACATTTCAGCAATGCATCTTAAAATTTACATTTGCAGAGACAGAAAGAAGCTAATCTTATAGATTACCAAAAAAAGGTTAAGAACCTTTGGTAATCAATTACCAGAGAGGCATGACATCAGGGAACCATACTCTTCCCAGGTATTTGGAGACTTCAGCATGAATTTCATCTAGGCTATAATCATCATTAGGGATCAAAACTTCCTCCATGATAGAGAGCTGGGTTAGCCTTCTCCCACATAGTCTTACAAACTCAATGAATGCACTGCAGCTAACTTCACATTCACTGAGGCCCAAGGCTGTTAAGTTTTTACAGTGTTCAGCAATACAAATAAGTTCATTATCAAGAGCCTGAAGACCATTAGCACATACTACTAACTCTATTAGTCGTGGACAGTTAAGACCTATCCGTCCTAGAACTGCTTTGCTTATGGAACGACCAAAATAAAGGTGAGTAACAGGGGTTTCTTCTTTGAAGAACGTCTCCAATTCCTCTTCATATAAAAAGAAGTACATAACAACATTAACTCCAGGGGAGTGTTTAATGAGTACATCCCAACTTTGTTTTTTAACAGAAAGAAATTTGATTTGTCCAGGATTTTCACTCACAACATCTATTCGAAGATGCTCAAGGTTAACATGGGTCTCACTTGAAAGTGCCAGGAGAAGTTCATCACTTAGCATGTAATAATTTAATGCCAGTTCTCTAAGACCTTGACAATGGTCAGCTACACAAAGGATTCCTGCAGGAAATGGGGAAAAATCCTTAAACACAAAGAATACGGATACTACTAATATAACATTTTGTGAATTTAAATTTGATATTATTCATTATTTGCTAAAATAGACGTAATGATTTCTGAGGAGATGGATGCCAAGATATATATAATTATACTTGTAATAAATATCCATAACTAAGATACTCCTAGGAGAAGCAATTTAAACTATACGTAGCTTATACATTAAGAGGTCTTTTGAACAAAGATTAATGAATTATGTCTCATAGGCATGTAGTTTTCAATAGGAAATTGCATTATTACTACTACTATAATAAAAAAACATCATGCAAGCGTAAAAAATATAACCTACCATCAGATGAAACATGAGGACAGCTACTCATTTTGAGGCGTCTTAGAGTATCACTATTATTGGCCACAAGAATCTTCAAAGAAGGATCATCCACTGGTGTGTCTTCAATTTTGATTGATGATAATGATTTTGAGTTGACAAAAACAACTGTAAGTGCTGACACAAAATGAGACTAGCATGGCAATAAGAAAAAAATTACAAAGACATTTAAACATCTGCTGCTTCAATTAAGTAACTCATTAAAACTACTTATATCAACATGCTTACACTAACATAATAAAAGCAATCAACATACTACTATTTTTTACAGTGCCATTAGCCAGTAGAAGACATTTCTATAACAAAGTACAGTTTTATACTTTTACCATTAATAAATGGAATGGTGAGGAAGGAAGAAATTTCAAAGATTTCATAAACACATCTTCCAATTATTTTCAATCTTAAGGATTTGTTTTTCAATATTAAAAGGATATAATCATATTTATTTCCTAGAATAGAGGTTGGCAAGTTATGGTCCACCAGCCAAATCCAGTCCACAGAGTTAAGCGTGGTTTTTACATTTTCAAATGGTTGAAAGAAAATTTTTAAGGAGTAATATTTTGTGATATGTGAAAATTATATGAAGCTCCTTCAGTGTCCATAATTAAAGTCTGACCGTAATACAGCCATGCTGCCTCATTTATGTAATGCTACGTCTGCTTTCACACTACAGTGCTAGAGGTGAGCAGAACTATATCACCCACAAAACCTAAAATTGTGCTTTCAGGACCTATTCAACCCCTTAGCCTAAAAGAAATAGAAGTCTTATCTGTTTTATTCACTCCTGTATGTCCAGCACCTGAAATAGTATCTGGCACACAGTAAAAGGTCAATATTTATTGTTGATGAATAAATGAATAAATGATGTCATATTCTTCCAAATTTTTTTCTAGCAAATTACCTAAACAAAGATACAGTTTGAAAACTTTCTCTGTTTTGAAGATTGACAAACTAAAGCTTATTTACAGCTTGACTTCAAAATGGATGGAATTTCACAAGTTTTCAGATCCAGTATTTTTTGACACAGATAGAAAGTATGGAAACAAAATCCATGCATGATCATTTTTCCTTTTTCAAAATCAACTTGGATTCTATCAAAGGCTCTATTGTCCCTATCAGAATGACCAAAGTGGTTATACATCTTAATTCATTTATAACAAAACATTGGTTTATACTAATTGTAAACTGATTTACACAAATGTTTAAATGGTGGACAGCTAAACCTCTTTACTAAATTTCATGGTGCCAAAAATTATTAGAGGAATAGAAACAGATCACTCATTTTCCCTAAGAAATATAAGGTTTATTTTCCTTTTAATCAACTCTCACCCAACTCTTTTAGTACTGAAGGACACATTTAAGCATTAGAGTACATATTTCATCACAGTAACAATATATTAGTTTAGTACTTCTTATGCCTAGCAAAATGCTGTATCTTTACATTACTTTCCCTCAGTTTACAAATGAAAAAACTGAGGCTCAGAGAGATCCACAACTTTGCCAGAAGCCACAGAGCTCATTTTGCTGTGGAGGCAGAGCTTGAAATGAAGCCTGCTAATCGCTGGTCCTCCACTCTGGAGACTGCATCAGCTAACCCAGAAGCTAGCCCTGGAAGCTGATGTGCAACGTGAGAGACAACCCAGAATCTAAGAATTTCAGGTTGATCTGATTCCCTAGCTCATAAACAAGGAAATAACTATTTAGAAGTAGTAAGTTTTCACCTGGTTACTTAAATTACTTGAATCCCCAAAAGACCCATTCTTTTCAGGCTAGCAGAAATGCTTGCTAGAAGAGAGCCATGACCCAGTTAGGGAGAAAGGAGATGCTACTATTCCTCTGTCCTCTTCCATAGGAAGGTTTCCATTTGCCAGTTTTACTGACAACCATAGTTTAGTGCTTATTACATATCAGGCACTATTCTAATTCTGGGTTTATAATGGTGAATAAGCAAAATAGAATCCCTGCCTTCAAGGAGTTGGTTGATGTTTTCTGAGGAGAAGAGAGTAAACATGTTAAATAAACAAGGTGATTTCAAGCCCTGATGAAGGATATAAAGAAAATAAAATACTGTAATACATTAGTGAGTAACTAGAGGAGGGGGTGTTGTTTTAGCAAAAGTGGTCAAGGAGGGCCTCCCTGAGGAAATGGCCTTCAAGTTGAAGACTGAATGAAGAGAGGACAGTCATCAGTTTCTGTGGCAAAGACTGCTGGTTGCTTCCTAGGAATCATCCATCCTTTCTTTTTTGGTAATCTGGTTCCAATTTTTAGCTGGGCACATTGCCACCCAGCTAAAAGACGGTCCTAGCCTCCCAGAAATGTGGTGTGGCCACAGAGCTAGGCTGGCTGACAGACAGAAGCACCATGAGGTACTTATGGCTAGTCCTGTGGTACTTACAGCTTGAAAAAGGAGAGGGCACACCCTTCTCCCCCCATTTCTTCCCTCCAGCTGCCTAGAACAAGGACGTGACGGCTGGAACTGAGAAAGCCATCTTGGGCAATGAAAATGAAGAAAACACCTCGGAGAGAATGGAGCGCCTAGAAGGGGCGTGGGTTCCAAACAACTTCATACCAGCTATGGACTGTGGCACCTATGGGTTTCTTTAGTGTAAGAGAAATAAACCTCAGTCATGCTTTGAAGCCACTGCTGTTTTAGAATTTCTACTGTAAGGATGCAGTCATCAACCTCATCAGTATAGGACACTTAGTTACACATGATATTGTTCCACCTCCAATGGAGAGACTATAGAGTTACAGGAAAGACACCCACTATTGGCCCTACACACTCTACATTCAAAGTAACTAAGTAAACTGGCACTTGAAAATTCTAAGTATAACATCTAACTTTTATATTAATGACATCTACTGTGAAACAATTACTAAAATTACAGACTATACCTAAAGAATGAAACCACGCATCAGCTATTTCATCAAAAATAAGTGCTAGTCAACAGAAAACGGCTTTAAATAATTATTTGAATGCAAGAAGGGTTATGGTCTGTTTTTAGGAATAGAATTATTTGTGACTAGTTCGACAATATTTGAGAATTTTAGTAGATCTCCCAAAAATGTCTAGCATCTTTACCTTTGACACATTCATAAAGCTTGGCTTGGCCGTTGAAATCAAGCCCAAAGTCTGTATAGAACAATTTACCAGCTGAGAAAGTATGTCACAGGCAGCTTCTGCTGATTCAGTACTACTATCAACCTACAAAGACAATTTAAAATCTTAATTTCCTGAATATAACTTATCAGAAAGTTATCGGCAATATAATTATTTAATAGAATTCAATTGCAAAACCGTACTTATCCCTTCAAGCTATAAATTAGAATTTTTTCTCTATACACGCTATCTCAGATAAAAAATGAAAAACAGAAATGATGACAAATGAATTTTCTAAGCACTTTAAACTTTCAAATCTTATTTACACTTTCAAATTGTATTTATACTTTCAAATACAATTACCTGAATTTTAATAATGGCATCTACATGAAGGAAACTGAAGTTTAAATTATTCAATTATAGCTCAAGTGCTACACCTAAATCTATGCAAGTAACTACAGAGAAACAGGAAATAGTTTGGGATTAAAATTCTGCAAAATTCATTGACTGCTTCAATGTAATGATCTAGTTATACACAAATGTCAAGAAAACCCAAGTCATTGTTTTTATTTAATGTTTATTTTTCTTACCTTAAAGCTGACATACTGGAGATGGGCAGCATGCTTTTTAATGATCTGCTGAATGAGAGCAGGATGAGTGGAGTTAAAATATGAAGTAGCTGACTTGTTCAGTTCAAACTCAAACTTTCTCCAAAGGTCAGGAATATGAAAAACTTCATTCCATCTCCTACATACAGAAGATGCCCGGGCCCGATCCATTAAAGGAAGATACTGAAAAATGCGTAACACTACATAGTGAGGCAAACTCCCCCAGTCTAGAAGGACAGTGTATGTATGAGTCTGGTTGAGAGAAGAGTAGAACCCAAGTTTAGGCTGTTTCACTGCTGGTGAAGACTGGACTTTATTCCCAACAGATAAATTGTTCCTCTTCATTCTGTAAACATTAAACAATGTTAAGTGACCATTTTCCCCACATTTCCATCATATATTTTGCTTTAATTGTATGGAATAACAACATTAGAAAATGAGAAACAGTTTAAGACAATTTTGACAAGGACCTTCCACTTTCATGCGTTGATAGGTACTACTATGTGCTAGGGATACAGAGATAAATAGGAGGGGACCTGCTCTCAAAGAGCTATGATGAAATGGCAAAATACGGTGATACACGCCATCACTGAAGTTGGGACAAGTTGCAATGGAAGATTAAGGGAAGGGCATGTATTTGAGTTTGTATGTGGGAGCGAGTGGTTGGGGAGGCTTCCAGGAGGAAAGGTCCAAGGAAGCAGTGTGAGTGCCAGGTTTATTCCTCCTCAATGACTGTATTCTCACTATCACACTGCAATTATGCTAAGAACTCCCAGGGGGCCTGGGAGCCCGTAAAACATAATTAAAGGCATAGATCTGGGTAAGTCCCAGCTCTGCCATTTACTGACCATGGGATCTTGTCTGAGCAAATTAACAAGCCTCAGCTTCCTCATCTGAAAAGCAGGGAGAGCTGCAGTACCAATCTCATAAGGTTATTGAGAGGATTAAAGTATCTTAAATGCCTGGACACAATAAGTGCTCAGTATATGCTACAGTCATTGTTGTTATATTAAATTGCCCAGTGAATCTTCCTGAATAGATTTCATGACGTTACTTAAGTTGGAGCACAATTCTAACAAAAAGTCAAATGACCTGTGACAATGTTCAGATGACACCCAGGACACATGAGCTGTAGAGAAGTGGGATATAGCAGGGACAGAAGCCGTGTGACCAGCATACTGGCTCCTTACCAGCCAATGTAAAATAGCAAAGGAATGAGCATTCTTTCCCAACGAAAAGAAATGATGACTCTCCAGGTATTAGTCAGCTTGAGACACAACTAAGTTCCAACAAATTTCAGGTCTAGATATACCCAAGTATATAATCCTATACAAAGATTTTACATAAGAATCTAAAGTATTTTAAGTATACAATAATTTAAAAGGTAAAATAATGATAAGAGTAGTTCTGAACTTATGTTGACTATTTAACCCTCTCTTTACCCCTGAATGTTAGGAATGTATATGTGGAAGACTTGGTGTCATAATTGAAACCGACCTTCAACTCTAATGAAATATCTATTTAATATGTAAATATCCCTGTCTGTGAGTCACTCTGTCTGATGTGAAACATTTCTTAACCACAACATAGAGTTGGATCCCAGAAACAGGCATGACCTATAAAGTCACTGAACAAAATGAAAGGTCATCTTTAGGGTTTGGAGAAAAAAAGGAAAAAACATGAATCTCAATCATCAGGCAAAAGAGCTACTACACACTTTAATCTGACTAAACCCAGTTATGTGCATAACTGAGCAATACAATGTAGAATACATGAAACTGCTGACATCAATAATTCAAAGCATATACTATTTTAAAGGGCTAATTCCCTAAAATGAAATACGATGGCCCAGGGAAGGTAAAGGAATGGACACTAGATTCTCAACTCTGGTGTGGAGCACATTTATTGACATTTGGCTTGTAACTGATTTATTTGGTAGCCTACAGAATAGAGAGTTAAAATTTTACTAAGGAATTACAAAAGAGTTATCCGTAACATAATCTGTCATTAAAAAAGCAGTGAAGCCAAAAATAAAACAAAGACTTCATCCAAATGTCCAGTTAGAAAACTGCCTTGCAGTTCTAAATAAAGGGATTGTGCTATACATTAAATCTGCATTAACATGGATTAAACGTTAAACCTGTTTATTTATTACAATCATTAAATTGCCAATTCAGTGACAGAATCACCATAAATAACTTAAGGATATTAGGTACCAATAATTCTATTAAAAATAACACCTTAGTTTTCTTTTTCCTCATGTACATTAATTTTCAGAATATAAAACCCACCCACAAATCATAAATTTTATATATAATAATTTTATAGCAATGAGCATCAGGAAAATATTAGAACTCAAGACAAGTTGATCTTTATTAGCTTGAAATTCCAGCCTAAGCATATACAATCACTTTTCAAAACTGCTATTTCCTTTTCAAACTACCAACTGTCTTACCTAAAGAAGGCTTCCAAGTTAGAGTCCCCTCTGAACAAGCGAAATGAAGTAACTGCTGCTATGGGGTGCTCACCAACATCCATTTGACTTCACTTCCTAGCTTGACAAAACACCACAAAAACACATTTATCAGAATATATGTAACTAAAATCCCAGTAATTTTTAAGCTTAGGATATTTATATATCATTGTATATGCTGAAAGTTTTTGTCAGGAAATTACTGATTCCCAAACTATTTTCTACTCAGAAGAAAACCTGTCCATTAAAAACAAAACAAAACAAAAAAACACATTAGCCTGATAAATGGAAATACTGCAACACTTGCCAGGAATTACATGTGAAGTTCTGCTCAAATAAAAGGCTGTGTGTGGATCAAACAGTCAAAGGAGGGCTCTGAAAATCCACATTTTAACAAACACATATGGAGAGGTATTACAAAACATTTAAGGTAGCCCATGATTACATTTATTTGTTCATAGGCTGTGTACATCTTTCAGTTCCAGTTTTTAGCAGCACCTAACGCCACTACAGTTAAAATAATTAAGCAGACAGAACTTTGATTTTTTATCATTCCCATATGAATGTAGTTTGTTTGACTAGTCTGCTGTTAACATAAGCTTCTGTGGTTTTTATTTTTTCACTTATATTGAGACATATAATTGATTCGTTCATAATCGATTGATTCATACTCTCTTTGAGGTTTGATCAATTTTAGGCACAGTGACTTATCAGAATGAGGAGCAGTCTATGGACATGGGAGAAAATAATAACAGGTCTACACCAGGATAAAACTCACTGCCTGGACATCATGAATAAGTATCATAAGTAAAAATAAATAAATGCATTGTGCTAATTTTTGTAAGCCTAACTCAGTTACACACAGGAGCTGGAGGAGGCAACCTATCAATCCACTAAAAACTTCTCTTAAATCTCTAATGCCTACCACCTGCCAGCTCTCAACTTCTCTCTGAAGCCTACTCTTAAAATAGAACTTTGGAGGACAGACAGGGAGAATGAATTAGAGGTCAATATCCACAATTTGATTTCCCCACTGCCAAGCGTTGTTCTACTATCATCCAAAACACTATTTTCCATCTAGATAATGGCAAGGCCATCTCTCTCTCCTTTACATTCCACTCCAGAAGTAGGCAGAAAGGAGCCACCAGGTACACTTTCAGAGGAACACCACAAATAAGAGAAAGAAAAGTCAAGTGACATATTTCCCTCATCAGACGACACACAATTTTATTTACTGCAGAAAATTTTCTACTGACTTATCAATACGGCTAATTCTGTGTGTGCAGCCCATTCTTTATGCTAGAGAACACTGAGGAGATCTGGTAAAGGTATATAAATAGGGAATCACTACCTAAGACCCATAAGGTGGTACCAAAGTACCTAACTCAGATCAGTTCACTGGAGTCGTTAAGATCAGATGAATTACTTCCCTGGTGGCTGAAGGAATTTGACTGCTGTTTTAGAGTCACTATCTGAAATTGTGAGGGCTGGTGGAAGACAAACCCAGAATTCAGAATCCCACTGGGTGGTAAGCCACAATTTGGAAAAGGGAGAGATGAGCAAGCCTGACACTGATCACAATTCTAGAGTATAAAGCAGGTTTGTAAGCACTTGGGAAAGAATGCAATGATGACTCAAAGCCCACTTGGTGGCTTCACTATCCACGTAACCCAATTTCCTTTCTTTGATACGTTAATTAATTTGGTAGATAAGGTGACCCTGTGAATCGGAGCCTCTAAAAGAATCTAAGAAATCTCCCACAGTATTCTTGAGGGAAAGATAATCAAAGACAGGTAAGACGAAAAACTCAACATCCAAAGTCATATCTTTTGCACCATCACCAGATTCTTCTAGATTGGTGAAATGAATAAACAAAAGGCACTTTTAAAAGTTTCAAGTTTTTAATAGTCGCAACAGTAGAAATATTGTGTAAATACTACGGATAAAGAATAAAAATTCAAAACTATCTAAAAGGTTAGACAAATTCGTTGGAAGCAGCAAGATGAAGACGAACAGAAATAATGAGCAAATGTTCTTTATTTAAGCTACTTTTCTAAGGTGGTACACTGAGAAATCAGGCTGCTGCCACCACAGGCACATGGCCCCTGCTAAGGGGTCTGAAATCCCAGTCACCAGTGCAATGACCAGGGAGGCGTGGCCTGGCAGGAGAGCAGAAGATTTATTCCAAAATATAGCTTTGAAACACCCAGCATTCTAATAGAAGCGAATTGTGTTGAGGGGCAGAATCCTCCCACTAAACATATCCCAAGCAGAGGACAAAACAATTTTTTAGGGATGTTTTCAAAAATATTTATGCTTTTTGCATCCCACATGACCCCTAAGTTCCCTTCTAAATCTAAAACCTACAATTTCTTAAAATATGAAAGTCAAATTACAATATCATCAAGGTTTCAACAGGAGAAAAATTAGTATTTATGTCAAACAGATCTTTCCTAAAGCAGTAACTGCCAACTTTTTGGTGTTATATTTTTTCATTGATTTAGCAATTTTCTATACACTCTAAATAGTCTCTGTTGTATCAAGATATATTTATTTTTCAGGAAAACTTTTAATTTTAAAATAGGTATGTTTGCTTTTAAATGACTCATATGAAAACTGAAGTTTTCAAAATACATGTGGATTCAAAACACCTTTTGAGATGCAAGGAGAGGGTTAAACAGAACTTGAACTGAGTTATCTGTTAAAAATCCTTGAAAGGGGGGCCCAGCTGTTCCCCTCTCTTAACCCTCCCCACCTCTCCTCCCAACTCTGGAAGAGAAAAAGGAGCGAGCACAGGAAGCCAGGCCCTCTACGGGGAAGCCTTCTGACGTGGGGAAAGCCCTATCTTAGGGCTGGGTACACCAAGGGATCCAACAATTAATACAAAGAGTTCAGGAAGGCATTTTGCAACATTTTTCTGAGGAAATAATCATAATTTTTCAACTTTGGGGAAACTTTCTGGGCACAGGTGCTAACAACAAAACCAGTATACCTAAAAGAATAGATTCTTCCAACTCACAGGAAAGGCTTGAGTCTACTTTTCTCCCAGACAAGCCTTTGTAAATTTAAACTCTTAACACGATCCTCCTGTAAAAGGAAAACCCTTCAAGTAGTCGTGCAAAAGCAACCGCGTGTATCAATCACTTAGCATTCTCATCAACTACATGGACTGGAAACATGTAATGCGCGTTTGAGAGAGAGAGAGAGAGAGGTTAAGACGAATGCAATCCTTTCAGAGCTTACCCTCCAAAGATGAACAAAATGACTGAATTCGGGAAACCTGGGTCCCGAGCTGTGCCCTGCAGAAAAACCACCACGGGAAAAAACCAACCACCTGTGGCTGTAAAAATAAGACGGAAGACCCGACCTCAAGGCAAGTCAAATGCGGGGATGGAGGCTGGCAAGGCGGCCTGGCCTGGGGCCGGGTGGGGTCGTTAGCCAGGGGCCCCCCCTCCCTCTCCCCGCCTCCGACGGCCCCCGATGGGCAGCGCCCCGGCTGCGGAGGCCAGGTCACACCTCCTCGTTCCCGGAGAAAGTGCGCTGGGCGGGGCGTCTCCCGGTCCCCAAACCACAACCCGCCCGAGTCAGGACGCGCGTTCCGGCCCGCGGCTTTTCCCAAAGCCAGCAGAGGCGCAATCCCCGCACACCTCCGCGCCCCCACCAGAAGGAAAGGCTACCTTGCAACACAGAACCGCGTGTGTTTCCGCGCGCGCCCCGGTGTTCGTGAGCCGGGCTGCGGCAGCGGGACCAGCCCACTCTGTCCCAGCTCGAAGCCACTACACTGGAGCGGACTGCGCTGGGCCCCTGGCGAAGACCCCTGAGTCCGCAGGCGTCTCCCAGGCCCGCCCCCCCCCGGGCGTTCACGCATGCGCGCAGCTCCACTTTTCGCGGGAGGCCGGTGCGCGCCAGCTCACACCTGCGCAGGAGTCCGCGGGGCACCTTCTTAGTTGGTTAGTGGGAAGTTTCTGCCCGCCGCCTTCATCGAAATCGCTGTGGCCACCTGCGCCGTGAAACTGACTACCAGCCTCTCCGAATGGGAGTGAATTTGTAATTCCAGTTTCTAGAACTTAAACCTCCCTGGAAAGTGCACCCTTTATTAGTATACAAATAATGGAAACTTAAAATATCAAAAGTGTTAACAGCTCAGTGTTAAATATGTATATATCACTTCCTTGTCCTGCTCCACATCTCATTCCCTGGGGATAACCACTGTTCATTGTGTAAATTACTAGACCTTCGGTACACACCCAAAAGTATCCAGTGAGAGGCAAGGATTTTATTATTCTCATTTGTTAGTTTGAAAAAAATCTGAGATCAAATTGTATATAATGTTCTGGCACTTCTTTTGCTTACTACACCATGGACATAGTTCTCTATCAACACATATAGATCCCCCTCATACTTCTTTTTTGTTTTTACAAACATCTTTATTGAGGTATAACTGACAAGATAAACTGCACATGCTTAAAATGTACAATTTGATAAGTTTGGACACCTTGAAACCATTGCTGCAGTGAAGGTAATGAACATACGAATTTCTCCCGAAAGTTTCCTTATGCCCTTCTGTAATCCCTCCTTCAACCCCTCCCCCATCTGCTTTCTGACACTATAGATTAGTTCGCATTTTCTAGAATTTTTTGTAAATTGAATCAGAGTGTGTACTCTTTTTTGTCTGGTTATTTGCACTCAGCATAATTGTTTTGAGATTCATCCATGTTGTTGCATGTATCATACATAGTTCTTTCCTTTTTATTGCTATGTAGTATTCCGTTTTATGGATATAACACAGTTTGTTTATACATTCACCTGATGATGGATATTTGGGTTGTTTTTGGTTTTTGGTTATTATAAATAATGCTAGTATGAACATTACACATCTTTGTATGGACATATGCTTTCATTTCTCTTGGGTGAACACCTAGTATGGAAGAGCTGCATTATATAATACATGTATGTTTAGCTTCTAAAAAAGACTGCCAATGCCTTTTCCAATGAGGCTGTTTTATATTCCCACCAGAAACGTATTACAGTTCCATTTCCTCTGCATTCTCACCCACACTTTTTAATCTAATAGATGT